ACCAAAAATACAGAGCGCTGTCTGATACCCGGGCTGGTAAAAATCTATATTCTTGGCTTCTCTCACCAGTATTGCCATTGCGAAAACCCGAATCCCTCCATGAAAGTTTTAAATAATTGTTGATATACTTCTTTATTCTTCTGCGCACTCTACATTTTATTTTTATTTTTTTTTTTTTTTTAATTGTGTATTCCGAATCCCTTCATGCTCCACTTTCTCTTTACAAAAATCGTTACACTTGAACTTTGAAATGAAAAACGTAGCATTTCGCACGTTTAATAATAAAGAGATTGCAAAAGTAGAATGTTTTGAGAAAAGAACACGTATACTATACGATATAACTTTTTGAAATGGTTTTAATTTCGTTAGTAAAAATGAAATCTGAAATAAAGCCACTGCCCTTGTCACTGTGCAGTGTGGTTTGTAAATTATGTGCTGTATGTTGCTTTTCATACATAGTAAATTTTTTCCTATTTTGGCACTGGCCAAATCGCATAATTAACTAACGTTCGTTTTCTTTTTTCAATTTTATCAGTTGTCAAAAAAATATTTTAAATTTTCGTCACCTTCGATTACAATTCGTTAATAGACCGCAATTTTTTTTAAATCCCAAAGCATCAAAAACTTACTTGAAAAGAAACTGTAAACAGAAATATTGTATTGAAAATATTGTTATTTTTGCCAAAGACGCAGTTTGTGTACATTTAAGAAAAACAAATGCGCAGTATGCCAGGCGTAAAACAATATTATTGGTTGGTTTGTTTATTGATAAATATAACACCGACGCGGGTAACAATATACATAAATATTTTTAAAATGGGTAGAAATAATAAAGAGACGAAATTCGAATTTCCAAAATCAAAAATATTTCATCATCATCAGCATATCAGCTGGAAGACGTCCACTGCTGAACATAGACCTGTAAATACAGTATTTAAAATAAATAAATTTATTTTAATTTCTATATTTAGCACAAAGTGTTTTTGTGCTAAATATAGTATTATTGGTGGTAAGATATATCGCAGCACTCTATCAGCTGAATTAAAAAAAAAATTAAGCTATATAGCATCAGGAGGTCTACTCTTTTTGAACGAAAAACGAAATTTCGATCGAAAATTTGCATGTTTCTCACAGTTTATTTATTCCACTTCATTATGAAATTTCGTCCGAATGAAAATTTTATTTTAATAGATAATTCTTCGGAATTTTAATGTCAAATTAACGAAATTGAAAGTGCTACTTTTGATTTTCGCAAGTGAGACTGTTGTTTAAAATTTGATTAAAATGGCTGCTAGAATGCTTCTATCGATCGAGGCGCTGCGTGAAGAACGCTTAGAGCGTAGAAGGAACCGTCGCCGTTGAGTTTGTTGGAAATTACAGACTCAGAAAGCAGTCATTTGAAGAGTTGTGCCGAGTAATAGTGCCCGTCCTACCTTCAAAAGGAAGACGTCGTGGAATCGAGCCCACTATTAATGGAGACACCTCCCTTAATAGTGGGCTCGATTTTATGTTTGATCAGATCTTTTATGATCATTATTTCCAATAAATAATAAACATTTCGGTATTCCTACTCCTCATCCTGTTAATCCCGACGTAGTTACCAAGGGTCTGTAAGGCAAAATATGGACGGGTCTATAGCACAACTGCTCTCAATGCACTCCATATACAGTACATAAAATTTCTGCATAAATCGAAACAAAAGAAATCTTTTTTTATATATTCTACTGTATTTAAAATACAGTGAATCGCGACGTCGCTCGCCAGGGCCGGTAGCTGTAAAGGTATCTAACTGGGTCATAAAACTTTCATAAATTTCTCATAGATGGCGCTACGACTAAAAGTCGTTGAAAAACCAAATGCAAAGACACGACAACAAACACATACAAAAATTCGTTAGGTCCACTGGTTCGTTCCGTGGCTTAGTTGGTATAGCGTCTTGCACGGTATGCTAGAAGACGTCGGTTCGAATACGGCCGGATCGAAGGAATTTTTTCTGAATGTTCGATCTTTGTATTAATACTTATAAAAACAAATCTTATTAAGCAGCGGTGAGTACTTAACAAGTATCTAAGTTATTATGTTATTTGTACTAGATTAATGTATTGTGAATGAATGTTATACGATTAATGTTGCTAATATTATGACAAATCGTCGCCTTACTTTCTCACTCATTTTTTTTTTCATATTATCAAGTGACGGGACGAACAAGACGTGCGCCTGATGGTAAGGTACACGCCAGTCCATAACAGTTGCAGTGCCACTTAGAAAATCTGAGGGTCACTGCCATTGCTTTAAATACCTAGGGCATATACTTGCCGCAAAATTGAGATGATGATGATTTGGAGCGACAGAGGCGGACTGTAGCCATGAAGAGTAACATGTTGGCGCGTCGATTCGCTCATTGCTCAGTTCAAGTAACAACAACTTGTTTAGGACTTACTGTCAGGCGTTCTACACTAGTCAGTTGTGGTACCATTACACTAAGCGAGCTTTTGATAGACTCAGAGTTCAGTACAATAATGCATTTCGCGCTATGCTGCGGCTGCCCTGGCGGTGTAGAGCGTCTGGCATGTTCGCCGTGAATAGAGTAGACGATTTTTTCGCCATAATACGGAAAAGATATTGGTCTTTTCTTGTGAGAGTGAGCGATTCGGCCAATATGCTACTTTCTAAGTGACCACCATTGACTTACAAATAAATGGACGACGGGTCTAATACAAAAACCACGAAAAAAATGTCCCAAGTCAACCTATTCGAAATTTAAATTGTAATGTCATCGCAGTATCGCGCTGTCAGTAGAACAAATGAAGACCAAAGCGGAGTGTCGCGCTCTGTATACGATTTTAGCGCCTTACAAGTGCGGACACTTTTAAGCGCGGACCCGACGTCCATATAATTGTAAGTCAATGGTGACCACTCCATTTTTAAAATTTAAATAAATTAATTTTTGTTATACTATTATTTCTAATGTGAATTCAATTTGATGTAAATCTTAATTATTTACTTCATTAATAATTACAATATTCGGTAAATAAAATTCAATTTAATTGGTTATGTAATGTAATGTCGTTACATTACGTTTAATGTAATTAATAATGTTTTATTTATTAATGGGTGTATACCTAAATAAACATTTTTTTTTATTGCGATCGTCACGTAATTTCACCAGCACCCTTACCCTTTAAAACTGGAACACAGTAATGCTTGGCGGCAGAGTAAGGTAACTCGTATCTTAAAGCACAAAGTAACTGAATTGCAAAAATGCATTGTATTTACAAATTTTGCAGGTTGATTTCAAATCACATTTCCTGCATATTCACACACTAACTTTTACCTATTCTTAAAATAATGCATCCAAACTACCACTCTTGATAAGAAATTTAAAATAAATAGATACGTGTTTGAGAAAGTAAGGCATCGAAATATAGGCTTCCAGTAAGGTAGCACGATAAGGTGCGACTTGCGCGAGATTCTCTATACGAGAATAGCAGTATATCCATTGACTTACAAATAAATGGACGACGGGTCTATAAAAAAAACCATGTGGCATTTGGATGACGTCATGGAACTCGCAGAACAAAATTCCTTCATAATAAATGTAACTGGAGGTGATTAGTGTGTATTAGTACGTAAATACGTAATTTTAAGACAATTTGTTTCCATTAAACTTAATTACATTTATTTTTAAAATTTCTTGAAATTTCACTCCACTGTGAATACACCCTTACCCGGCAGTTGCACTGATGAGTCACTATTTTCTTAACGCGAATGCACTATAATACAAAAACCACGAAAAAAATGTCCCAAGTCAACCTATTTAAACGTAGTGACATGTAAAGAAATATGAAAAAGCTAAAACTTGAATTTAAATTGTAATGTCATCGCAATACTGTCTAATTTTGCTTGCTTCGCTGTCAGTCGAACAAACGAAGACTAAAGCGTGAATGACGCTCTGTATACGATTTTAACGCCCTATAAGTTCATATAATTGTAAGTCAATGAGTATATTGCACCTTATGTCGCTCTCGCGCGAGTCACGGCCTGTTGTGCTAGCCCTACATGTGCATTGATTGCACTTATGTAGCAATTGTCAGACCTTCTGCGCACGAAGAATAATATTTTAATCAAAAACATTTTTATTCGATTATCACTCAAGTTGCGAGTATAATAACAAAATACACTCCCGGGCACATAATTCGAGTCACCTCGCATTTCCAGTATTAAATGACACAATGTTCGATTGATCAAAAACTATTCTACGCAATTTTGAAACTAGTATATTAAAAGTCTTTTCAATAAGTTCTTGTTGGAAATTTGGACTTGCAAAACGGGGGGAAACCTTTTTCTTCGATGTTAACTATTTTTGTTTTCTAACCCCTTAAGATAAAAATGCGATGTGAATCGATTTATGTGTCCGGGAGTATATTAATGATTTTACTGAAGCGTGTATTGTTGAATATGATTTCTATTAATTTACGATACTTTTTATATATGTTACATTAAACAACATTCACTTTCAGACTGCTATATAACTAATCAGCGCTTCTTCAAGCCGGCCGAAGAGCAAAAGCCGTGTTAGTGCAAATTTTGAAAAACAATAGGTAAGATAAAGTTCTACCCAATTAATTATTGATTGTGGCAGTTGATAAAATACAATCAATTTACAGTATTATTTTTTAATTTTTGTAGGAGGTAATATTTTTCAAAAAACTCGCCGAGAACTTCAAGCGCCTTCATTTTTATATTTTTAAACATGAAACACACAGATGGCGGATGCGGGTCGGGTCGGGACCGCGGCGGGTATAATTCCATGTATTTATATGGACGATAACACACCAAGCGCGGGCGGCGTGCGCCCCGTGGTTCCGATCTGACCAACCGCTGTCTGTGTGTTCACGTTTTAATACTACTACAATTTCTGTACATACTATTTGGAATAAATTATTTAAAAGGAATAAAATTTATTATATGACATGAAATAAAAAGTTTTATTTACTTTGGCTACTACTACAGGGAAACTAATATTATAAATTGAATTAAACAACAAAGACGATCTTATTTCAACAACACTTAATGTTTGTCTAAAAATTCCCTAAAAATCTCGCACAGCTGTAACAGGGCACCCCTGATACCAGCGAGCTCGGTGTTCCTGACGGTTTCTCTACGTGCACGCTGCTCTTCAAGTTGGAGCAACCTACTTCTACCATCAGTACCAACAGCAGATCGTCTCCTTCTGGAGGAACGTGTAGATTGTGAGACTGTAAAGAATAGAATAGATTTTTATTTCAACGCCACAACACAGATACAAAAAAAAAATATTGATAACACTTAGGGCGCGTTCCCATTATGTCGTGACGACAGATAGTCGTGCATTTTAAAGTGTCGTCACTTGTATATTTAAATGAAGTTGTTCATACATAGAACAACACGATTAACTGTCGTTCAGGACATTTTGATATTATGACGACAGACTGTTGTGACAATGGGAACAGCTAGAACAACAGTCATCCGACGATAAATAGAACGTCACGACAGACGAGACCGAAGAGAGCCGCCAAGGCGGCTGCTGTGAACCGATAAATTGTCGTCACGATCTAGTGGGAACAGCTAGACACGACAGTCGTCCAATGACAGATAAAACTTTACGACATAATGGGAACACGCCCTAAGACAAGCAAAACAAAATAAAAGAATGAAAAAATCTAAATATACAACAAACAAAAAAAACCACATAAAATAAGACAAAACAAACGAAAAAAAAAATAATTAAAACGACTACAAATGTTGTACTGTCATTTGTGCAGTTGTGGCGTACGCAAAAGGACTATCAGCTTATGCCCCAGCCATGATTGACTGGCACTGGTTTTCAATGAGCCCTGAGCCGAGATGAGTGATGGACGTGTGTGTCGAAAATAAAAAACTGAACTTTGTATATTGTGTTACATAAAGCAACATTTTAATTGAAATACCTACCCCAATGACTCAACAAAAAATTACTAGATTTTGGCGTTCAACAGATGTAGTCTTTATAGAGAATCACTTTGTCTGTCTGTCACCTATTTTTGCCGCCAAGCTGTAATGTTAGCATTACTGCGTTCCAGTTTTGAAGGGTGCTGGTGAAAATTACAGGCACGTGGGACTTGACGACTTACGTCTCAGGGTGACGGACGCAGTGGCAGTGCCCTTCAGATTTTTGCGATTTAAAGCTCTGAATGGCACTGCAACTGTGATGGACAGGCGTATTCGTCGTTCGCCCCGATACTTGGTATCATAAAAATAATGCATATAAGTTATGATAAGTGCCACTTATATTCTTACAGATGCACTTCTGACATCGAGTATATAACCAGAAATAAAGACACATTAAGGTTATCCATCCCTGGTAACTGATCCGGCAAATGAGCCTTATATCATTTTTAAATATCAACTCTCGTTTGCACTATAACTGTTATGGACAGGCGTGTACCATCAGTAGCACAACTTGTTCGTCCCGTTACTTGAAATAATAAAAAAAATAATTGAAGACGCTAAAGACACTTGAGAGGGTTCAATAAGTCGACATATTTTACGCCTACCACAATAATAAATGCTTACAACGTCTGGAAGTCAGAAAGTCCTGTGACACGGGTTGACTCGGAGGTTCTGACATCTGGTTGGGCTCATCATACTCCGTTTTTAAATACAGTGGGTCACTTGCTTGACTGGAAATGGACGGCATTGGTTCATCGGTCTGAAAATAAAACAAATTTAATTTCTAATAGTATAACGATATACGGAAACTAATTTAAAAATCACTTCTAATTCCTGTACATAAAAATATAATTTATAAAAGTAAAGATATTCATTTCAAACGCTATAAGATTGTGAATAGATGAAAATTCAATGAGTTACCTTCCTAAAGGCTGGCACTCTGGCTTCAGCCTGGTGTTCACCAAACTCATCTCCCAATATTGCCAGTACCTTCAGTTCCCATTCACTGAGATGGGGTGCCGTTGATGGACAACCTCCAGTCGTAGAAGCCGACTTCAAGGATTCAGCAGCAGCTTTTTTGGTTAAATGTTTTCTATCAAACCATACCTACCAAATTATAATAATCTCAATACAGAGTACTAAAAAAACCGACCTCGTTTTTTGAAAAGTCATTCATCCCCTAGTTTGCCACCCTGAGTATCCCTGAGTACCATTTCCAATAAAAAAAATCACCAATATTGGTTCACCAATGAGTTATGGCGTAAATATACATACAAAACAAATACAGTCGCATTAAGAACCTCTTTCTTTGAAGTCGGTTAAAAATATAAGATCTACATGCCGCTTTTAAATGTTATCTATTAATTTATTATTTACTTTTTGCCACTGCTTAACAGTTTTTGTGCAACCACCCACGGAATTGAGTGTATTGCACAATTCTTCCCATAGCCTCTTTGCCTGGAGTTTGCCTTCGGCACTCCTCAATCTCCCGCGAGCTAGGTCCTTATGCTCGAACAAGAAATTGAGGAGTGTTTCTATTTGCTCTGAATTTGCAGAAACTGTGTGTGGAGCCATTTTGAACTGAAAAGTATTAGTAAATATAAATTATAAGTATCAAGTACTAAAGAATAAGAAAAGCTTCGATGGATTTAGTGAAAAAAACAAATAAATATGTATAAGTACTTACAAAGTTTTTCAATCTAAAATAAACACTTGAAGAAAATTGATATTTAAGACTTGGCTGTATGCGAGACGCCTTAGCCTGTCCCGGAGGATGAAAAATTTTACTACTCTACTAAATGTATTTTATCTAAAACTTACTTACGGAATGTGTTCGAACTTAACAGGGAGCAGAGGAAAAATTCCTAATCTTCGATTTGATTTTAGAAGTGTATATCCACTTTAAAGTTAAAAATAAAATATTGTATGAGTAACTACACGATATATTCAAGCATAGACACTAATCAGAAACATAAAACAATAAAGTTTCCTCGATAGATAAAAATCACGAAATGACCTCTAATTTTCACATTTTTTCGATTCATCCTGGAAATGCTACAGGTTATTAGGACAAAAATTAGATAATTAATTATATTTATGCATGATTGAGAACTGTCACTACGGATTTTTTTTAATCCCTTTAGTTTTAGAGTTATACCGCTAAAACGGATTTGGTACTTTTAATGCGCAAAATTCAACACCTGTCGCATGTCACGCGAACTTCAGGCATATATTTGTTTCACAAATTTGGGCGGAGCCAACGTCAAAATGTTTTTGGCATGCTCTCTCTTAAGAAAAAGGCCTTTTAAAAATTTTGAATTGATAGATAAATAAACAAATATTTGATACGTTTGTTTATATTCAAAAATTAAAAAAAAAAAACGTTACAACGCGCATAACATACGGATATTTTTGGTTGTCATACGTTTACCACCTGTGACTTGCATGAAATGTGATATTACTCTTCAAAATAATCGGATAACAATGAGTATTTTATAGTGTCTCGGTTAATTTCGATGAAAATATATTTTTAATTGTTTCTGTATGTTTTCTGCATGATTATTACAAAAAAATACCTAATGAGTCTACTACTGTCTACTAGTCTGATACTTAAGTCTAAAATTTAGAAATAAAACAAAACAATTGTATTAATTTTAAGTAAAAGTAAAAACAGTAATTTACCGTAATTAACATCAAAAAAGACCTACAAATTTGATTCGTAGAACGAAAATTGTAAATGACAACGAAATTCTTGCGCCCCACTGAAAAGAAATTAGAGTAAGGTCATCGGCGTAACTTCGTTTATTTCGTTCGTTAACGAAGTTTCGTTTTCAAGAAAGAGAGTAGACCTCCTGATATTCAATTTTCAACCGACTTCGAAGACACGAGACGGTTTTTAAAGTACCGAGTATATTTTTCTCATATGACGCAACAAGTGCGACTCCGTACGAAGAAAGTCCACAGTGTTCCATTTTGATCATAATATTATTATTTTAAATCAAACACGTTGCGTAGTCGTTAAGCCTCGTGTTTTCCGCAGAGGTGCGTGACCTTCTTCGAGGTCAATTATTCTTTTTGCTACACGTTGTATAACTTGTTACTTTTATTAAAAAAATAAAAAATAATAAACGTCGGTTATTTCGTTATTAGTTGACCAGTAAGACATTTTAGGCCAATTCTATATTTAAAAATATTAATTGTTTTTTTAAGAAAATTGTACTTGTCATTATGAATATTGCACTTACATAATTTTTATGTAATTAACGGCGTAAATCGATTAAAACAAGTGCGAACCTGTTAGTTTATAATGAACGTAATACCCGTTTGAAGGTCAAATATTAATCATTACATAAATACACAATTAATGTAAAGATATTACATTTTCACAAAAGTTAAATTATAAAAAAACTATACATTTTTTCATGTTTCAAGATTCATATTAAGCAGTAAATAGAAAAAAATACATTCCGATTAGTTAACAACAACTTCAATAAAATTTATTTTATTTAAAAAAAAAGTCTTTATATCATAATACAAAATAAGAACACGAATCAGTTTTGCAAACATTGTCAATACTAAAATAATTTATTTTAATATTTTTACATAATCCACAATTTTCATTAAATAAATCAATCTTTTCAAACTAAGATAATAATAATTTAAATAACTAAATACCTACCCATTCCGCAAATTAATTCTTCGGCCAATTAAAACAGATATGTAACAACACGACCCGAAATAACAAAAATGCGTTTTGTAACACAATAGTCAGGCTATTTAAAGTTCAGCACAAAGAGATTTTATTTCATAAATTTAAAATTACCATTGACAATAGAATCCGATTGTTGAAACCGCAAAATGTGTTCATTATTTTTAATTAACACTCTTTGTTTATGGTAAATTATAATTATATTACATTAAATTTATTTTCTGTTTCATTCGAAACGATGTTACTGAAAAACACTTTATAACATTAAAATAATTTCGATGTTAATCAAAGTGCAATAAGATAAAACTGAATTATAGATAAAATAAAAAAGAACTGATATTTCTTGATAAGAAACAAAACGTTCCATTTTTTGTTCAAATCACACACACGGTTAGATGGTTTAAAATATGGATTTTAAAATTTTATATTTAGAACTGCAAACGTCACGTCCGTCTAAGAGAATATGGCGCGAGTCGATAAAAGATCCTTTTCAATACGCGCTCCGCGAGGCAATGACTCAAACTAGTACAGCCAGCTCCGCCAATGAGGTTTCATTCGCTGCGACTGTGCACTCCGGTACGTAATGTATAATATTATACCTATAATTTTTGTACAACGTTCAACATAAGCGTGGAAAATGTACACTGAGTTTCCTTAAATTACAAAACAGGTATATTAAAACGTTATCATATGAATAAAAAGTCAATTATATTGCAATACGTTAGATAAATGTTGAATATTAAAATATCAATTGCTTGGTAGCTAGTAATTGACGATAAAAATGTTATTATTTTGTTGTAACATACAACATCTAATAGCATTGAAAGAATGTGCCATTCCGCATGAATATGATAACACGATAAATTAGTTGCTTTTTATGTCATTTTTTCATCAAATTACAGATATTGATTTAAAATCTTCTTTTCTTGTCCGTTACCGGTGTAGACGTTTATATTTAATTTAAACCCCGAAACAGCCTCTGATTATTGGCAATTGACAATCTCGGTGGTAAAGCGGTTAGAGATGTGCGGGCTAGGTAAGTCCTGGATTCGATTCCTGATAAGACCAAGTAAATTGGTTCCGATGGGAATGCTCTGATACTTATTGTAAAGATTTATTTCATAATGCAAATTAATTTATCTATAATTTATGGTTCTATATTTGGGTTACGATGGTTTATATTGTCGCATCTGAGAGAGTTTAATTGAAATTAAGTCTTAATAATTTTTTTTATAAAAATTGCTGCGTTATATAAAAAATTGTTAAGAACTTATACCAAGGCTTCGTGAGCTGTTGCCATTTCACTTATTCGTATTAGGAAACTAATTGCCATCTGACTCTTTCTCGCTGCTACGGTTTACTTTAGACGTGACGCCCGCATGGATACTTTATTCTTCTATTTGCTTATTTTATATTTTTTTAGAAGACCATTTGTAAGTAATACTCGTACTTAAAAGATAAATTTCGAAGCTATTCGTGTTCTACGGAAATTAACGACTGTGTTGTTAACCTAATTAATTGAAACTTTTTATTCACATCATAATTGTTTTCACGCTCATTAGTTCGCCACGGTAATTTAAAGGTTGTCTTCATGATTAACAAATAAGGTTAACATTTGGTTATCACACAGAAACATTCTATATTTGAATTTCCGGATAAACGAGAAATTTATAATGTCAAATACATTCGAAATAGGTTATGCAATCGTAAACTTCCGTAACGTTTTCATAGCTTCGAAGCTCGGACTTTAGAAAATAGCTATAGTGAACAAATAGCATGATCAATAATAAATTGAATCAATTTTATTTATTTATTAAGCATTGGCTTAGAGCCATCAGCTTAAATTGGTAACGAATATTTAAGAAACTCAAAATGTAATAATACTTAAACTAAAAATTTATTTGTAAAAAAATCTAACCACACTAACTAATCTAACCGCCATTTTATTTTCGCGCTATTGATTCAATTCGAAAAGTAAAATTTTTGGGAATGTAACGAAATAATTTATAGTAGCAGAGGGCTCCTTTTGAAAAGAGCTCGTCCAAGGCAGTACTGCCGCCAAGCAGTAATGTAAGCATTACTGTGTTCCGGTTTGTAAAGGTAAGGGTGCTGGTGAAATTACAGAAACATAGGACTTGTCAACTTATGCCCCAGTGTGACGGGCGCATTGGCAGTGGCCCTAAGATCTTTGGAATTTAAAGCTCTTATTGGCACTGCAACTGTTAGGGATAGGCGTGTCGCTCACCACCAGGCGCACGACTTGTTCGTCCCTTCACTTGGTATTATAAAAAAAAATTAAAAAAACGTTCGGAATAAAACTATAGTAGATATTTAAATAGAAATTGTCATATTTGGCACAAGCCACGTATATTATTCATAGAAAATGATTTTTGGAATATTTTTAACACACACTCATAGCCGTGAACTCGGGACCTGTAAAGGGCCCGAAACGCTTTTTTGTTTGAAAAACAAAATCGAATATACGCGATATAGTTTCGAAAAAATAGTGTCATCCAAATAAGTTATTGTTTTTAAATCTATTTTGGACTTTTATTATTAAGGGTGCGAAATCTTATAATTTAATAAATCAAATATTATAGGAAGAATCCTTGTTTATCAGTTTCTTAAGGGGTATTAACTTAATTGCGTACACCCGGCGGGGGAGGTATTTCCACTCAGTAATAAGAACAAATTTCATTGTGAAAGCTCAGAAATTACATAAAAATCGGCTTTTCCATACGTAGTAAAGTGACACAATTATTTTTTTGATAAAATGGTTTCAGTAAATGTAAGCGTAACTATAGAACAAAGATCGAACACTTAGAAAAAATTCACTTCGTTTCGAACCAACGTCTCCTAACAAACCGTGGCAGACGCTATGCCAACTAAGCCACGGAACGAACCAACGGACCTCACGAATTTTTCCAAGTGTTTGTTCCAGGTTTTCGTTTTCGGTTTCAACTGCGCTCCGAATGGCCAGCCCGAATTCGAAACAATTGACGGGTGTCATCAATTGTTTCACTTCAAACCGACCAGTTTAACGTGGGCTTTGCTATAATAAATTAAAAATACATAAAAAAAAATTAAAATTAATTCAATACTTAATTACCGATAAAATGTAATTGCATTTGTTTCGTAATTAAATGTTTTGCTGTTTTTCCAACACCACCGAATGGAATAGTTAGATACATTGTCTTTATTATAACAAATACAGAATATTTTTGGTCAGTTGGTTTGGTCAGGTCAGTTGTGACAGACAGACAGACAGACAGAGAGAAAGAGAGAGAGATAGAGAGATAGAGAGAGAGAGAGAGAGAGAGAGAGAGAGACAGACACACGCACAGACACGCACACACATATAGAAAATCATACGATATTATGTACTAATAAATTATGAGCTATGACTGATGAAAAAAGTCTCAGCATAGTGCTGTTTTTCAGTCTCCGCCTGTGTTCTCTGTCGGAAATTGTCGGCACATAATTTTGAACAAAATGTTACCGAATCGCATTGACTTACAAATAAATGGACGACGGGTCTAATACAAAAACCACGAAAAAAATGTCCCAAGTCAACCTATTCGAAATTTAAATTGTTATGTCATCGCAGTATCGCGCTGTCCGTAGAACAAATGAAGACTAAAGCGGAGTGTCGCGCTCTGTATACGATTTTAGCGCCTTACAAGTGCGGACACTTTTTAGCGCGGACCCGACGTCCATATAATTGTAAGTCAATGCCGAATCGTGATATTTTGTAATTTTATTTTGTTACAAAACTTACTCGGCTCCGATAAAACTACAATAAAAATTAGTTTTATACAAATGATAAATAAATCGATATTGTCATCATCGAATCGACGAACGCTAACGGGCGGCCGCCATTACGAAAAACATCTTTCGATTAGAAAGGACGTGGTGTTGTTTTGTTTGGATTTATAGTGAAAGATCTTATAATATAATTTATAACAGTCCCTGGAGTCTCATTTCTATGTCTACTAGGGAAATCCCATAAAAAGGTCTATAATAAAACAAACAAACTTAAATCTATTTATTTACTGGTTACGAGTGATAATAATGTACTTTTGTATGGCCTACATTTATTTCTTTTGTGAGTTTGGGTGTAATTTATGGTTGTCTACCTATGTGTGTGGCACCCGCGATTCAGGTTCCCCATACTAGGGAGGGGGGCTATGAGTGTATGCGATGTTACGTTGCATTCGTAAGATAGATTTCCCTGAGAAGAACGAAAAAAAATAAAGGTTGACTGGACGGCGGCAGATCGTACCCGTGACCATGGAGCGTGCAACCGTTCCGAAATATCGGGAAAATAAAAAGAAGTCATACCGTGGTAAGAAACCTGATATTAGTGATAATCATTTAGTGAATAACCACGAAAGTCTTAAAATCTATAAAGGTAAATTATTTCCCACTTTATTTTTTTTAAATAGTCGATTAATTGCGCTATTACTTTATTACATTTTTAAGTGCTAAACGTATAATGACAAAATGTTTACCACTAAAAGGGTGATTTTCAGATGTTTTCAGGTTAGCTTTCTCTACCTAATTCCAGTGGCAATTTTTACTATTTAAATATTGTAGAATATTTTAATATTCGAGAGTAGTCAGTAACTTTGAAATATTATTTAATATTTCACGATAATATAATCGAATACTTTAATAAATAAAAATTGCCACCGAAATTAGGTGAGAAAATCAGAAAACTAACCAAAAAAATTGTTCTCTTTTTTAAAAACAATTACAATTAGGGAACCACTCCAATATTTTATTGATAAGGATGGGAGCTCGTGTTTGTTTAAGGGTCAAAATAAAACTTGATTGTAACGACATTCGTGTAATACGTTTAAGACCCTTCACTGTATTATATGCGTGAAAAGCACATATATAAATATGGAAAAACGAGAGCGTAAAGATTATTTTTATGCACAATTGTTGTAACTTCACAATCACCATTGCCTTTTGTTCTAACATTGA